GCAGTATTTTAGGTATATAGTTAAAAAAATAAAAGTTTAAAGTAGAATATTTTAACCCTTATTAAGAATTATGTTTTTATATCTATATAATTTTATTTATAGTTGTATTAGTTGATTAATATTATCTCTATAGTTAGTATTTATTTCCTTCCTTTCTTTATATGTTTGTTAATATCTCTCTTAAAATTAAAAGTACATTTATATTTAATAAATAGTTTTAATGTAATTAAATTATAATTAGTATTTATTTTAGTATCTTTTAAATATTTATAGTTGATTTTTAGTAAGTATTCTTTATTGTTTATAAGTCTCTTACTTAGTTAAAATATTACTTAGTTAGTAAGTGTTATCTTTAGTTATATATCCTTAATATTACAATTGTTAATTTTATCTTTAATATTATTCGATACTTTATATATATTTACTATCAATTATAATTTTAATTAATAATCTTCCATTATAGTTAAATATTTTTAATAGTCCAAAATAAAATAATAACTATATTTTATTTTATGTAATATAAAAAGACATGAATAGTTTAACAACTTTTATTATCTTTACACCAATAGTTTTGGTAGTACTTTTAATAGTAAATTTATTATTACCATTAAATAGACCTGATATAGCTAAATTATCACCTTATGAATGTGGTATGGATACTATTGGTTCTACCAGAGAAAAAATTAATGTATTATTCTATTTAATAGCAATATTATTCTTAGTATTTGATATAGAAATTTTATTTTTATTTCCATTTGCAACAGTTATATATTCGATTTCATTATATGGTTTCTGAATATGTTTCTTTTTTTTAGCTTTATTAACTATAGGGTTTATCTATGAATTAAGTAAAGATATCTTAAATTTTGATTCCCATCTTTATACCTATTATTATAATTTAATACCTCATTTATATTAAAAAATATTAACTTTAGTTATTATCTCATATTTTCCTTATTAACCTAATATAAATTATACTAACTTATTACTCTATTTATCTATTATATATTTTATATTATCTCCTATTAAATATACTTGTTATACAACCTAATATAGCACTATATTATTATAAATATTAGTATAGGACCTATTATTACTTTAGCATTATTTAATATATTATCCTCTATAAAGAATATATTTTTTATCTTTTATACATTAATTATTTAAACCATTATTGCTATTTATAGTTTAAATATACCTTACCTATCTTTTTATATTTAACTATATTATATTTTCACTTATTTAACAACTATTATAAATATTACCATTACTAAAATATATTAAAAATACAACAGCACTTAACTAAATATAATATATGTAAACTACCTTTTAATAAAAATAGTAATATAAATGGTTAAGTATACTATTTATAGAGATGATAAGTAAATATAAGTCATAAAATATATTATAAATCTAAGTTAAATATAAATTATATAGAAAACATATAAACTATCATTGTAAATAATTATTAAGTAGGTGTAATATAGATTTAATTACAATATTAACGAATTTATCTACAGACAAAGGTGAAGTAAATGTAATTATTGGTAGTATTGATAGAATAATACAAGTTTAATTAAATAGATAAATAAACAATGTAAGTGAATAATAAGGATAAGAATATAAATATTAGTAAGATAAGAAAGGTAAGATATAGATTAAATATAAATAAAGAATAGTTAATAGAATGTTATAAATAAGTAAGTTAATGATAAAAAGTGATTTTAAGGGTTATTGAAGGTAATAATTTTTGATAATGTAAGGGTTTAATAGGTGATAGTTAAAAAAAATAATCAAGATAGGGTTAAAAGATTATGTATATTAAAGGTTATGTAATTATAATAGTAAGTAATAATAGTTATAATGATAAAGTTAAAGGTTAAAAATGTTAAAGATTATAAGCGGTATAAAGGGTTGTAAATGATAAGGAATAGTTATTAAGTAAGTTAAAGATAATAACGGTTTAATTAGTAATAATGATGAGGTTAATGATATTAAGGG